AGCAGCGCCAGCACCTCCAGCAGCTCCTGCACCAGCAGCACCTCGAGCAGCAACCCGACAGCGCCGAGAGTACCACTCACGAAGCCGCTGTGGAGAGAGGGGCTCCCGCCGCGACGGGACACCTAGAGCACCTCCAGACGCAGCACGCGCAGGCTCAGCACCTCCAGACACAGTACCCTCAGGCGCCACACCCCCAGGCTCAGCACGCCCAGTCTCAGCACCCCCAGACTCAGCACCCCCAGGCTCAGCACGCCCAGACTCAGCACCCCCAGTCCCCGCACCCGCAGGCTCAGCACCCCCAGACGCAGCACCTGAGTCGACAGCTACCTCGACCGGCTCGGCAGGGTCTACCTGGGACACACCTGAGGGGGCAGGACACCGTCCACCGCAGAGTAGGTGTGGTCTCCGGCAAGGAGACACGAGGCTGAAGGTTGATCTGATGCGCTGCGTACTGAACCGCGAACGGCCACAGAAAGTGGGGAGCGGCCGCATGGATCATGGACGTACGAGCGACGTCCATGACCATGCCAATGCGGCGCTCAGCAATCCCATTTTGCTGCGGGGAGGCCGGAAGCGTGAACGTCTGGCGGATGCCCTCAGAACGACAGAAGGCTCTCAAGAGGTCGGAGGAAAACTCCCCGCCTCTGTCTGAGTGCAGACGCAGAACAGGAAGGTCTGAGCCGAAACTCTCACTAAGCTGGCGACGAGCACCGCGGATCCAGTCGATCAACACCTCAGGGACCTCACCCTTGCTGCACAAGGGGAAGACTGTGGTGTAACGCGAGTAGTCGTCAACGACCAGCAGGAAGTAACGCTCGTGACCCTGTCCACGGACGCGGGCTGGGCCCCACACGTCCATGTGAAGAGTCTGCAGAGGAGCCTCAGTCGGAGGGAACGAGGAGGAGTGAGGGGCGGCGCGCTGCCGGCCCTCGACACAAGGAACACAGGTGGGGGCAGGCCCCGGAGGAAGGGGAGGGAGGGACCTGGGGAGACCAGAGACAAGGGCACGGGAGGCCATACCTCGAAGACGAGGCAGGGAGGGGTGACCAAGGCGGTGGTGCCAAAGGAGAGTCTCGTGCGACAGAGGACGACACGAGCAGGGGGTAGACGCAGGACTAGACCTGGACGCGGCAGCAAACACCTGACTGGACGCAGCTACCTGACCAGACGCAGAGACCGGAGGAGGCGCAGTAGTTAGTGTGTACAGACTCGAACCTGGCCGACGGGTGAACGTGGCCAGGTGGCGACCCGTCCGAGAGAAAGTGCAGTGGGTCACACGCTGACCTCCAGGGGTGAACTGGTCAACCCACGCATCCTGGAGGTCAGCTCCACTCACCAAGTTCGTAGAGAACGAGGGGAGGTGGAGTCCCGACAGCAAGCCCGACGGGGCCGCAGGACACGGTAAAACTGTAGAGGAGTGTGCAAGGACTGGGCCCCCTGAGGGGTCAGCAAGGGAGACCGCAACAGGCCGGGCGAGCGGCGTGAGCGTGGTGCTGTCTCTAAAGAAAGAGCGCAAAGCACCAGAGTCAAGTGTGAACGTGTGCAGGGCCTCAGTAGGTGCAGTACCAGAGAGAGTAGACGTACCAGCACCTGGAGTAGCAGACGCACTAGCACCTAGGGCAGCAGCCGCACCAGCACCTAGAGCAGCAGCCGCAGTGCCCGGGTCGGGCGGGACACGCAGGTAACAGTCACCCTCAGTAATATCAGCAAGAGCATACATGGCAGCAAGGATAGCATCAAAATCTAGATCAAAGATAGGCACATTCTGCAGAAGCAGATCATGCCAGCGAGGGAGCTCAGAAGAGTCAGGAAACTGGGTACGCCAAGCGTCAGTCAAGCGACCAAAGCAGCGCTGCGTGGTGTGTGGGAGCCCACACACCTCCCCACTACGAGGGCCGGTGCGAAGAACGTAAGCGCAGGGACCTGCACCCCCAGACCTCCCACGCCCAGCGTACCACTCACGAAGCTGCTGAACCGATGGGGTCTCACTGGAGCGCGGCTGCTGCTGATGCTGGCTACCACCAGCGCCTCCACGCTGCGCGGCTGCACCTCGACCAGTACCACCGCCGCCGCCACCTCCACCACCGCTGCCGCTGCCTCCACCACCTCCACTGCCGCCACTGAAGCCCCCACTCCCGGTGCCACCCCCACCTCCACCGCCACCCCCTAATCCTCCGCCACCACCCCCCCCCGCCGCCCCCTCCACCACCTCTGCCCCCCTTTCCCTTGCTGATGCGGCGTCTCCCACTCGGAGCAGACGCAGCCCCGACCTCTTCAGTGCCAACGAGGTCGACAGCAGCAGCAGAAGCAACAGAGGGGAGAAGGGGGACAGGGGAACACCCCTCAAAGAAAGGGGTGCGACGGTCGCCGTGAGAAGCACCTACAGCTAAGATACTCTTCTCAGCTGCAGTAAGGCGCTCCTCTAGCAGGTCGACAGTCAGCTCGGTGGGGCAAAGGGAGAGGAAGTGATCCCTGACTGAGGAAAGTGAGTCAAGGAGGCGGGTGACTAGGTAGTAAAGGGTGATGTACATGGGGGGAGGGTTCTTGGCACAGAACTCAGTGGGAAGGGCAGCACGGTAGCGGGCGTCACTAGTGCGAAGGTGAGCAACTAGGTCAGCGACTGTGGCAAAGGCGGCAAGGTCAGGGAAAAGGTACGGCAGCATGAGGCGGCTGAGTGCAGCAGTGGAAGGGGAGGAGTAGCGTGCAACTACAGCGTCGTACAAAGACTGAGCAGTCTTGTACTGGCCAAAGTGTGCGCGCTCAGTAGCCGGCATGTGACTACGAACAGCAAGACGAGCAACAGCGTCACGAGTGGTCCACTGAGAGCGAACAGTACTGTCAGCAGTGACAGCAGGAGCAGTGGAAACACCAGACGTGTGATCGAAAAGAGATACCCCATCCCTAGAATCACACTGAAGAAACAGCTGGAGATCGTCAACCCACACGTCAAAGCCAACTGCACGTCCCTCAGCATCAAAGGTGAGAACGGTGGGACTAGCCATAGTAGCAGTAGGAGCAGTAGCAGTGCAAAGCAGTGAAAGCAGCAGTAGCAGCAGGAGCAACTCAGCTAGGCAGGGCAGCGCGACTCGGCAGGGCGGCTCGGCAGCGCGGCTCGGCAGGGCGGCTCGGCAGCGCGACTCGGCCCGGTTATGCTCTTACCAGGGGCGAGGCCGGGGCAGGGCCGGGGCAGGGCTGCAACGGGGCCAGGGCAGGGTCGGGGCCGAGGTAGGTCTGGGACGGGGCCGCGACGGGGCCGGGACAGGGTCGGGGCCGGGGCAGGTCCGGGACGGGGCCGCGACAGGGTCGGGGCCGGGGCAAGTCCGGGACAGGGTCGGGGCCGGGGCAGGTCCAGGACGGGGCCGCAACGGGGCCGGGGCAGGACAGGGTCGGGGCCGCTACGGGGCCGCGACGGGGTCGCGACAGGGTCGGGGCCGGGACAGGGTCGGGGCCGCGTAGGGGGCCGCGACGGGGCCGCGGAAGGGGCCGCGTAAGGGGCCGCGACGGGGCCGCGTAAGGGGCCGCGTAAGGGGCCGTGTAAGGGGCCGCGACGGGCCTAGAAGGGGCCGTGACAGGCCTAGAAGGGGCCGCGACGGGCCTAGAAGGGGCCGCGACGGGCCTAGAAGGGGCCGCGACGGGCCTAGAAGGGGCCGCGACGGGCCTAGAAGGGGCCGCGAAGGGCCTAGAAGGGGCCGCGACGGGCCTAGAAGGGGCCGCGACGGGCCTAGAAGGGGCCGCGACGGGCCTAGAAGGGGCCGCGACGGGCCGTGAAAGGGTCGCCACGGGCCGCAAGGGGGGGCCGCTACGGGCGCAAAGGGGCCTCTACGGGCCGTGAGGGGGGGGGGCGCTACGGGCCGCGAAGGACAGGCGCGACGCGCGCTTCGGGCAGGTAAGGAAAAAAAAAAAAATCGTTTTAATGGTGGGCCCTTAGGAAAAACTAGCTCTATACCATGTGAGAATAATAGGAATGAATGATTGAACTAGAAAGCAGAAGGGTACAAGTAGATATAAGGACTACCCCACTACAGCCTAAACAGACTATAGTAGATATAAGTTTGACAGCAGACTCCAGCTGCAAGTCACAGTATCTGTGAGAGGTCCACTGGTGATCCCCGATTGATCCTAGGGAAGGGTTACAGGCTCGTTGTCCTGGGGGGTTATGGGCGCATTGATCCGCTACTTAAAAGGCCCTTTATCCCAATGGTCTAGTGGTTGTATAGTACCTAATTTCACATGCTTGTTGCCTTATCAAAGCAAATTATGAAGGTTGGCAGGGACAAGTGAAACCTGCAAAAAACAAGTAGTGGGTGGAGAAGTGGGGTATCGATCCCCATACCTCTCGCATGCTAAGCGAGCGCTCTACCATCTGAGCTACATCCCCATAAATATCTGTGAAATGAAAATTATTTAAAATGTGTTATTAATTCATTTGGTTCACCTACCAAAATTTTGGTCCCACCGACATGCCTTTGCTCTCATCGTGCAGTATTTCCAAGAGAAACATCGATCGTAGTGAGTTCCGTGATTTCAGCAGCATGCGTTCCTTGAGTTCAACATATGCTGCGTACAGATTGGAGTTCCGTGGTTAGCGAGAAACGGCTGAGATCAATTTCAGGTCGGATTGACTCTCCTCCCAAGGTTGTTCCGACCAGGTTTTCGTGAGCTTTCGTTATCCTCGCCTCCGCTTTCGCGAACGAGAATCGCAAACGAGACGGCGATTCGCTGAGGAGTATGATATATTTACCTCTGGCGTGAGAGAATGCGGAGAATACGGAGATCCTAGGGAATGCCGTGAATGCTCTGCCCCCGAAACTCGCTTTTCCCGTCGTTTTTGCTAAACTCACCTTTCTAACAGTTAATCGTGAAGCCTTTTGACGGCTCACCGACATGCGACTCGTGACGGTCCTATAGTCGGAGTGCAAGGGTTCGTAATTCCTGTCATCCATTCTGTTACTCCATTCGTCGTCGTCGCGAAAGGTCGGATGACGTCGCCGCAGCGTATAATGACGTCATCGTCCATGACCAGCGTTCTCCTCATCGTTCTTCACTTGTCCTCCGTCGCTCCTATTTGGGTAAGCCCTTTCTTCTCGTTTCCCTGTCTCTCTCACCTCTTTCTCTTTTTCCTCTCCTCTCTCGCCTTCTCTCGTCTCCCAACTTAAAACGTCAAGGATCCGACTATTTTACTGCTCCAACAAGCTAGTTAAACTTCTATCTATGTTCAAACTCCGTCGTCTCTCTCCTTCCCTCTCAAACTCGAGTCCTTTCCTTCTTCATCGTTCTTATGGTGTGTATTTTTGTATCAGGCGCTGAGTCCCTCACCGGATGGCCTTCAATCGGGGACAACCGTCCCTTCGCATGTCCCTGGAAGTCTCACTCCAACTGATGGTGCTGATCCATTCGTTCTCAGACCCAGGCCAGAAACCACTCTTTCCGCAACATCTGAGTATGCTTCAAGACGTCTCGCAACTCTTCCCACGGAGACCGAATCTGCAGCAGCAAATTCTGCTGAATTTCCTCCCTCCCTCGTGGCTGGACTTTCCGAACCTAGAGGTTCGGAAGCTACAACCGGAAGTACAGCCTCCGGACATAACGGTTTGGAAGGTACGGCAGCATCTGTACCAGTTGGGCCGAACCGTCGCCTTCTTGCGGGCTTACATGGTCCCAGAGCCGTTGTCCGAGGCAAAAAGCCAGGCTCGGCCAGGCCTGCCGAACCTACAGATCCGGCAGGTTCTGCTACAGCTCGTACAGCTTCTGCCGAGCATGCATCGGAGCAAGGAGAGAAAGGGGAAGACGACAAGAAGAATATAGATGCAACAGCTGCTTCTGGTGTGAGTGCAGCAGAGGGAAGCGAGAAAGGGGAGGAAGAGGACAGGGGATTAAATGCAACAGCTGCTTCGGGAGGTGTGACTGGAACAGAGGGAGGAAAGGAGGTGCAGGAGGAAGGGGAGGAGAAGCAGGAGGAGGAAGACGAGGAGGAGAAGGGGGGGAGTGGAGCTACTGCTGCTGCTGCTGCTGCCACTGCCGGTGGTTCTGCTGCTTCTACTGCTTCTGCTGTTGCTGGGTTGCAAGGTGCCAAGTCTGCTGCGGTGAAAACTATTGATAGGGAAGCTGCCACTGCCACTTCGGAAGGTACTGGTGCTGCTGATGCCGCTGGTGCTGCTGATGCTGCTGATACTGAAGCCTCCGGCTCTCGTGCTGCTGATGCTGCCACTGCTTCTGGAAGGCCGGAAGGTGCCAAGGCTACTGCTGTGGGTGCTGCTGATAGGGAAGCTGACACTGCCACTTCGGAAAGTGTTGATGCTGCTAATGCTACTGCTGCTGCTGCTACTGCCGCGGTTGCTGGGGTTGATGCTTCGGTTGCTCGTGGTGGTGCTGGTAGGGTGCGTCCACCTGCTACCACTGATGGTGCTGCTGCTGCTACCACTGACGGTGCTGCTGCTGCTACCACTGATGGTGCTGCTGCTGCTACCACTGATGGTGCTGCTGCTGCTACTACTGGCGGTGCCACTGCTGCCACCACCAGGGATACCGCTGCTGCCGCTACTGCCACTGCTGCTGGTACCACTGCACCTGCTACCACTGACGATACCACTGCTGCCACTGCACCTGCTGCTACCACTGATGGCACTTCTCCCAGCACTAGGGATGCTGCTTCTGCCAAAGCAGCCACTGTTGCCACTGCTGCTGGTACCACTGACGATGCTACAGCAGCAGCAGCAGCAGCAGCTGGTGCTACTTCCGCTGTTGCTGAAGCCGATCGCAGCGAAGTAACTGGGGCGGGCAAGGAGGAGGAAAAGGGAGAGAATGATGCAGGGAGCGCAGACGAGGAGGGTGCAAGGTCGGTCGGTGGGGCTGCAGAGAATGAGAAGGTGACTGGTGGGGAAGCAAAGGATGTGAAGACGGCTGGTGGGGAGGCAGAGAACGAAGAGGAAGAGGAGGCGGAGGAGGAGAAGGAGATGGGGAAGGAAGGGACGAGGGAGGTGGGGATGGATGGGGGAAATCAGACTGCGAAGGGAGGGAAGGAGGAGGGAAGAGAGGAGGGCGTGAGTGGTGAGGGGCAGAGGGGGGAAGGCGTGAGTGGGCAGCAGCAGAGGGGTGAGCGCGTGAGTGGGCAGCAGCAGAGGGGTGAGGGCGTGGAGCAGAAGGAAAGGGAGGAGGAGGGTGAGTTGGGGGAAATGAAGGGAGAGGAGGTGAAGGGAGAAGAAGCGGAGGAGGATGAAGAAGTGAAGGTTGGGCCAGCGGATTTGGGGATGGAAAAGGTTGATGAGGCACTGGCAGCAGCAGAAGAGGCAGTCATGCCCAAAGTTAAAGGCACTGATGCTGCTGGTGCTGCTGCTGGTGCTGGTGGTGGGAATGTTACAAGTAAGGTGGGAAAGAGAGGAGAGGAGGAATTGGTGGATGCAAATGTTACAAGCAAGGTGGGAGGTAATAAGGGAGTTGAGAAGGAAGCGGAAGTGGTGGGGAAGAGAGGGAGTGAGGGGGGGACTAAAGAGGAGCCAGTATTAGCTGGGAAAGAGGAGGAAGAGGAGGAGGAGGAGGAGAAGAAGGAGGAGGAGGAAGCGGCAGAGGAAACGGAAGAAGGAAAAGCAGAGGATGCAGCTGCAGCAGAGGAGGTTGAAGAGCTAGCGACAGAGACGAAGGAGGGTGCAACTAAAGACAGCTGGAGGGTTAGCAAAGCAGGTAGTGAGGCAGGTGGAAAGGCAGGTGGAAAGGCAGGTGGAAAGGCAGGTGGAAAGGCAGGTGGAAAGGCTAGTGGCGAAGGCTCAACAGTAGCAGAGGAGGTTGAAGAATTAGCGACAGAGACAAAGGAGGGTGCAGAATTGGATACATCTTTGGTCACTGGGGAAAACGGTACAGCTACAGGCAGCTGGAGGGTTAACAAAGCAGCTAGCAAGTCAGGTGGCAAGGCAGGTGGCGAAGGCTCAACAGCAGCAGCTGCAACAGCAGCAGGAGAAACGGAAACGGATGTTACTGTGGTTAATTTAGCTGCTGCAAACACCAGTGATGGAGAGGGTGTGTCAGGAAGGGATGCGCTTACAGGAGCAGATCTTACAGGGAATAGTCTGTTGAGAGGAGAAGAGGAGACTCGTGGGTCAACTCAAAGGTCGAAGGACCCGGCTGGAAAGGGCATGTCTGGAAAGGGTACTCTTACAGGAGCAGAGCTGACAGGGGATAGTTTGATGAGAGGAGAAGAGGAGACTCGTGGGTCGACTCAAAGGTCGAAGGTCCCTGCCGGAAAAGGCACGTCTGGGAAGGGTTCTCTTACCGGAGCAGATCTTACAGGGGATAGTGTGATGAGCGAGGGAGAAAGGGGAGAGGACGAAGAGGAGAGGGAGGGGGAGGGGGAGGAGCAGGCGGAGGGGGGTTTGGGTGATAATATTGCTGTTACTGAGCGGCTGGGGAAGAAGGGAGGTGGCACAAAAGCGGTGAGAGTGGGAGAGGGAGAAAGGGGAGAGGAAGAGGAGAGGGAGGAGGAGAGGGAGGAGGAGAGGGAGGAGGAGAGGGAGGAGCAGGGGGAGGGGGGTCTGGGCGACGATATTGCTGTTACTGAGCGGCAGGGAAAGAAGGGAGGTGACACAAAGGGGGTGAGAGTGGGAGAGGGAGGGGAGGGAGGAGGAATGGATGGGGTAAGGGGAGAGGAGGAGGTGGAAAGGGAAGAAGAGGAGGGAGAGGAGGAGGCGGAGATGAGAGCAGAGGAGGGAGGAGAGGAAGGGCTTTTGCACAGCAGGACTTCGGGTAAAAAAGGGAAGGGCGCTGCAGCTGAGGATAGGGTTAAGAGTGGTGCTGAGGGTAGGGTTAAGGGTGGAGCTGAGGGTGGGGCTGAGACTGGGGCATTGGATGCAGAAGCAGCAGCAGAGGAGGGAGGAGAGGAAGGGCTTTTGCACAGCAGGTCTCGGGGTAAAACTGGGAAGGGTTTTGGAGGTGACAGTGGGGTTGAGAGTGGCGCTGAAAGTGGGTTTGAGAGTGGGGCATTGGATGCAGAGGCAGCAGCAGAGGAAGAAGACTCAGTGGCAGGTGGAAGGGTAGATGGAAGGCCAGCAGCAGCAGACGCAGCAGCTTCGAAAAAGGGGGCTGATGGGAATAGAGGACAAGCAGGTGGTGCTGGTGAGTCTAGGAAGAGAACAGGTGGAGAGGAGGAGTTTCCTGCTGCAGAAGAAGAGAGAGAGGGTGAGAGTGAGGATGGGGGTGAGGAGGATGAGGGAAAGAGGGGAAAAGGATCCGGTGGTGATGCTAGGAAAGGAACAGGTGGAGAGGAGGAGAGGGGACAAGGATTTGGTGATAGTGATACCAGGAAAGGAACAGATGAGGAGGGAGAGTACGGTACAGAAGAAAAGGCGCGAGAGAGCGAGAGGGGGAGCGGGAGCGAGGGAGGGAGAGAGGAGGACGGTGATTGGGCGATGCCTGGAGATGACTTCGCTGCTGAAGAAGCAGCAGAAGATTCACCTGAAAAATCACCTGAAGATGCACTTGAGGGTTCGGCTGAGGAAGACGGGTATCCTGCTGAAGGGGCGAACGGGGGTCGGTTTTCAGGTGGTAAGAACACAGACGCAGTGACAGGTGAAAGAGGAGCAGGAGGGTTTCAGACATCTGAGAGTAAGAGGAAAGGCAGTTTGCCAAGTGGCGAAGGAGGAGGGGCAGGAAAGCTTGGGGGGGGTGCTGCTGCTGCTGCTGCTGCTGCTGCTGCTGGTGGTCGTGGGGTGTCTCCGTATGGGGGAGAGGAGGATGAGTATGGAACGCTTCAGGATTTCGGTCCGTCCAATCCCAAAGCAGCAGCAGGAGCAGGGGCAGGAAAGCTTGGTGGTGATGGTGGTAGGGGTGGTGGGGGTGGTGATAGGGGGTCTCCGTATGGGGGAGAGGAGGATGAGTATGGAACGCCCAAAGCAGCAGCAGGAGCAGGGGCAGGAAAGCTTGGTGGTGGTGGTGGTGGTGGTGGTGGTGGTGGTGGTGGTGGGGGTAGTGGCAGGGAATCTCCATATGTGGGAGAGGAGGATGAGTATGGAACGCTGAAGGATTTCGGTCCTTCCAACCCAAAAGCAGCAGCAGCAGAAGCAGCGGCAGGAGAAGCAGGAGAAAGAGGCACAGCAGCAAAAGCGGAGGCAGCAGCAGCAGAGGAAGAAGAAGCAGGAGAAATCTCCCCATCAGGAAGCTCCAAGGCAACTCTACCTTCAGAGGAATCTCTTTCCTCACCCTCCTCTTCGCCTCCCTCTTTCAACCCCCCCGTCCCTTCGTCGTCCTCCCTCTCCTCTCCCTCCTCCCAGCCTTCCCTCTCTTCTCTTCTTGCCTCAACCCTAGAGCCTGTTCTGGCTCCCTTAGCATCCCTTCTCAGCACCTTCCTCCCTTATGCTGAGGCCCAAACAGCGGCCTTCTATCTCCTGCTGGGCCTTCTTGCCGCTCTCGCTCTCTCCCTCTGCATCTGCTGCCTCTGCTGCTGCCGAACCAGCGAGGCCGGGGACAGGCTCGGCGGGCTGGGAGGTCCGGCGTACGCGGAGGTTCCAGGAAAGGAGGTGGATTTGTCGGTGGCGTTGGGGCAGGGGCCGAGCGGGCGGGGGAGGGGGAGTGGGGGAGAGGAAGGGTGGGGGAATTGGGATGATGAGGAGGGATGGGATGAGGAGAAGGGTAGTGGAGGGGGAGGAGGAGGAGGAGGAGGAGGAGGAGGAGGAGGAGGAGGAGGAGGAGGAGGAGGAGGAGGAGGAGGAGGAGGAGGAGGAGGAGGAGGAGGAGGGGGAGGAGGAGGGGGAGGGGGAGGAGGAGGAGACAAGTTAGCACAAGTACTTGGCAAGGCTTTAGATACAGCTGCTGGTGGTGCTGCTACTGCTGGTGCTGGTGCTGCTGATGGTGGCACTGGTGCTGACACTACTGGTGCTACTGCAGTGAAAAAGAATATTCTTGGGTCGATCGGCCGAACCAACGGAACAGGCTCGGGGAGAAACGGGAGTGGCAGCAACGGGGCCGATGCAGGTGGTTTGGGTGCTGCTGGTGCTGCTGCTGGGGGAGGAGGGGCGAGGAAGAAAGCAGGAGGAAAGCTGGTTGTGAGCAAAGGGAAGGGGCTTGTGAAACAGTAGTCTCTGGCTTGAAATTGGGAGAAGAGGAGGAAAACGGCTGGTGAAACAGCAGTTTTTCACTTGTGGAGTTGTAAGAAAGTGGAGTGCAAGTACGGTAGTAGGACAGCAATTGGAGTGATGCAGATGGCTCAGGGTGGTGATGTTTCTGCTGGTGGTGCTGCTAGTAGTTTTGGTGCTTCTGCCGCTGCTGCTTGCGTTGCTGCTAGTGCTGCGTGTGCTGCTGCTTGTGCCGCTGCTGCTGCTGCTGCTGCTGCTTTCAGTGCTACGGTGATGCTGCTGCTGCTGGTTCTGGCAGTGCTGTTAAGGCAGAGGGCCAAGAAATAGAACAGAAGGAAAGCTGGTTGATTGCTACGTAAAGGGGCTTGTTGTGAAGCACGAGGGAGGAAAACAGGAGGAAAGCTGGTTGTTGTGGCGCGAACAGTTGCTCCAATCCTAGCCGTGGGACTTTCATCGAATAAGCATTGGGATCTCACGGGTCAAATTTGTCTTGACCTTGCGCGTAGGGAAATTCAAATTTAGACAGTGTCTGTGAATTTGGATCTGATATGTAGCTGGTAATGCTAAAAACTGGATCAGATAAAAACAGGTGCAAAAACCTGGTACAATAAAATAAATGCAATGAGAACAACTCAATCACCAGCCCTCTCAAACCAAACTCACTACTTCATCCCCTTCTCCCTTAGTGATTCATTATGTTATCTTGGCAGCACAGCACCAGCATGAACATCTAAAAGACTGCATATTCCATTACATCTCATGCAGAACATAATAAATAACTGGAATTGGAACCTAGGCATGCTACGGTAACAGAAACATGTGCTGCTAATAAATACGTGAAAACTACCTTCTCATTCGGTTGTAACGGCATCACCAGAGCAGGGCCTATTTTTGGATTTTAGGTACTCTGATTTCCAGAGTAGTTTTTTTCCCAACTCTGAAATCTAGGGTTGTTCCTGCGCCTTACTCTGATTTGTCAGAGTAACCCTATACTTTCAAAAAAAAACCCAGGCACGTCAGAGTAATATTTTTCTCTACTCTGATGTTAGTTAAGTTTGGTGTACCATGACCTTAATAGGTTTTTGTTACGCCTTTTGTACTTGCATTTCCGCGTCGCCCACGTTTCCCCCCTCACTGCGATGTTTCAGAGTGAGGTGTTGGCGGCACCGATAATCTGACTAAGGGCGTGTCCGAAGTGAAACGTCAATAGATGTCGCTGGATGTCGGTAAATGTCATCCCTCGGATCGACAGTTCCAACCGTCAGGATTTACCGACATCCCCAAACGGATGTCCACGGATGTCGACGTTTCACTTCGGACACCCCCAAAGAGCGTGTCTGAAGTGAAATGTCGACGGATGTACAGTTTCGTCGGGGAATGCTGGCGAATCTCAACCCTCGGATTGAGCGTTCCGACCGTCAGGATTCCTCGACGTCCCTCAAAGTTTCGTCGGGAAACGTCGACGTTCACTTCAGACATAAAGAGAGAGGGGACTGGCTGGCATCGTGCGCTGGTTGGGAAAGTTGTCAAACTACGGTAGCCAATCAGTGCTCATATTGCCGCCAACACACGACAGAAATCAGGAGAATGATCTCGACGATTCGGGGAAAACCCGCTAAACGCAGGGGGAGGTGGGGAGGGGAGGGGGGCGGGGGAGGGGGGGCCGGCAGGTATTCCCTATACAGAGTAAATTCGGTCCCCGAAAAAAAAACCCAGAGGCCTCAGAGTAAACTACAGCATAACTCTGACAAATCAGAGAAATCGGAAGTCCCAAAAAAATTACCCAGCGGGTACAGAGTTACTTTCAAAAATGACTCTGATTTTCAGAGAAACAGAGTAATTTACTCTGAAAACGTGAGGCCTGCACCAGAGCCAACCGCTTTCCTGAACACATACGATTGCTCGAAGTACCCATGCCTGCAACATTAAAATAAACAAACAGAAAAGAAAAGGAAGGAAAAACTAATGAATATAACAAACATCGTGCATCCTCTTAGTTTTGAAGTCGTTTCACCTGAGATTGTATAAGCGAATCATGCATCCCCTCAGCTCACCGGTAACAGTCTGTCACTCACCCATTTGTGCCCGCAAGTAGGCAACTCACCCGTTCTTCACTGCACACATGATATTCCATCCACAACTCACCCATTCTTCTCTGCACACATGATATTCCATCCACAACTCACCCATTCTTCTCTGCACACATGATATTCCATCCACTTCGCCCATTTGTGCCCGCACGTAGGCAACTCACCCGCTCTTCTCTGCAAACACGACATTCCATCCACAACTCACCTATTCTCGCCGTCAAACACAGGAGCCTGGTTGTAGAGAATCATGTCGTTCATACCCTCCCTCTCAACTCGAAGGTGATAGCGTGCCACTGAACCGTTTTCTCTGGGAAATGCAAGTCATTGTTTCTCACAGTAGGCAACTCACCCATTATTGCCGGCAAACACGGGAGCCTGGTTGCAAAGAAGCATTTTATATCCTTCATACTTCTCTTTCAGTTTTTTCGTGTAGGCAACTCACCCGTTCTTGCCGGCAAACACGGGAGCCTGGTTGTAGAGAAGCATGTCGTTCATGCTCTCATCCGAGGCTGGACAGTGGGTGTTGCGACGCGCCTCGCTGCCATGGGGAGGAATGGGGAGGAATGGGGAGGAGTGGGGAGAAATGGGGAGGAATGGGGAGAAATGGGGAGGAACAGGAGAGCAATTGTAGAGAAGCATGTGGAGGTGGATGGATGCCATGCTCTCATCCGAGGATGGATGGTGGGTGTTGGGACGAGCCTCACTGCCATGGGGAGAAATGGGGAGAAACGAGAAGGATGATAAGGGGGAAGGGGCGGAGATGCGAGTGGGCAGGATGAGAGGAGAGAGTGGAGGGAGAATGGAAGGAGAGCGGCTGCGTGGGTGCATGTCGTTTGTGCGCGTGACCATAGTGTGCCGTGACCGTAGTGTGCGTGACCGTAGTGTGCGTGACTGAAGAAGTTGGCTGCTGCCTGGCCCACAGCTATGGCGTGTGCTGCATGACAGAGAAGTGACTGTAGCATGCATTACTGTAGTGCGTGTACATTCAACATACTTGACAAAGAAGTTGGCTGATGCCTGGCCCACGGCAGTGGCGTTTGGTGTGTTACGATTGAACGACTTGTGCTTCTGACTGTAGCACAAGTGCCATATTCACATGTGACTGTGGCACTTGTGACTGTAGTGCATGTGACTGTACAGCTAAAGAGACCAACTCACTTGACAAAGATGTTAGCTGCTGCCTGACCCACGGCAATGGCGTGTGGTGCATGGTATAGGAGTGACTGTAGTGCGTGTGACTGTAGCGTGCATTACTATAGTGCGTGTGACTGTAGCGTGCATTACTATAGTGCGTGTGACTGTAGCGTGCATTACTATAGTGCGTGTGACTGTAGCGTGCATTACTATAGTGCGTGTGACTGTAGCGTGCATTACTATAGTGCGTGTGACTGTAGCGCTATTGAGACCACTTTCAACTTACTTGACAAAGTAGTTGGCCGCTGCCTGACCCACGGCAATGGCGTGTGCCGTGGCGCAGTCACGTGCTAGAGAAGTGACTGTAGTGCATGTGACTGTAGTGCATGTGACTGTAGTGCATGTGACTGTACTGCTATAGAGACCAACATACTTGACAAAGAAGTTGGCTGCTGCCTGGCCCACGGCTATGGCGTGTGCTCCATGGGGTATGTGGTCCAACCCCCACTCGTACGCGTTCTTCTGTTGTGGGTGAAGGAATGAGAGGGGAGGGGAGAGAGGAGAGGGGAGGGAGGAATGAGAAGCACAGGCGTCTGCTGCGTGGGGAGTGTGGTCCAACCCCCACTCATAGGCGTTCTCCTGTTGTTGGGTGAAGGAATGAGAGGGGCGGGTAGGGGAGGGGAGGGGAGGGAGAATGAGAAGCATAGCAAAAAGGCGTCTGCTGCACACAAGACACGTGAGAACGTAAACGCACAGACACACCATGTGCTGCATGCCACACCCCGCCTCAAAACTCAACACAGTCACACCATGTGCAGCATGCCACACCCCACCTCTGGATGCCACTGCGTGCCATAAAAGGGGTATCGCTTTCCCTGCACTGTTGTCACATACTCCTATAGTCACAGATAGGCACACGGAGGCAAAGAATCAAGTACGATAATCAATGCTGTATATGTGCAAAAAACTGAAGTCACCAGAATTATCTGAGCATTGCCTTGAAAAAATGGATACAGCTGGCAGTAGGACGCATCTGGAAACATTAGAACCACACTGTATATGGAATCATAAGTTCTCCGATCCAGTACTTTAGCAGTTTAACAATAATAATAATCATAATCAGAACTGCATGTTAGCCGACCATGTCTTCCACTTCTCAACTTGCCTGTACCAACACCAGCATCAATACAAAGGACCGTTTGAGAGAGAGAGGGAGAAAAAATAAAACATGCCTGGGCTTGCAGTCTACATGCCATACCAGTCCGTTCTTGTCAAACGAGGTTGTGAGAATGAAGAAGAAATCCCTGAGCCTGGCGTTGGAAAGGAAGCGATGCACCGTGGTGCCATCCTGAAGGGGAGAAGGTGGGTGGGAATGAGGGAGGCAAATGGGGGACTTGGAGGAATGAGGTGGTGAGAACGAAGAAGAGATCCCTGAGCCTGGTGCTCGAGAGGAAGCGATGCACCGTGGTGCCATCCTGAGAGGGGAGAGAGGGAGGGAGAGAGGAGGGAAACGGCGAATGGAAGGTTTGAAACAGAGACGTGGTGAGCAGAGCACAAACTAGAAATCCTTGAGCTTGGTGTTGGAGAGGAAGCGATGCACCGTGGTGCCGTCCTGAGAGGGGGGAGGGGGGTGCATTGGAGGATGAGGTGAAATGGGGAGGGGAGGAGGGAGAGAGGGTGCAAAGATCGAGGTGGTGAACAGAGCACGGAGAATAAATCCCTGAGCCTGGCGTTGGAGAGGAAGCGATGCACCGTGGTGCCGTCCTGAGAGGGGGGAGGAGGAGGGAGGGAAAAGAGCAGGTTGAGGGGTCATGGAAAGGGGAGAGGCGTGGTGAGCACAAAGCAGAAATCCCCGAGCCTGCTGTTGGAGAGGAAGCGATGCACCGTGGGGCTGTCCTGAAGGGGAGGAGGACGGAGGTGCAGAGAAGGAGGAGGTGAAACGGGGAGGGGAAGGAGGTGGTGAGGACACAGGTACACCATCGCGAGCATTGGCAAAGGAGAAGAAAATCTGGAGCTTCCCTCCTCCCCCGCTTCCTCCCCCGCTTCCTCCCCCGCTTCCTCCCCCGCTTCCTCCCCCGCTTCCTCCCAACTGAAAAACTGAAAATTGAAAGGCTTCTCCTGGTGGGAACGGGTAGCTTCTGCACCTTCCCAGCCAGAGAGCGAGAGGTGCGGGGAGAGGGGGGGGGAAAGGTCGGAAGAAACAAGAAATTTACCTGATGGTTCTCCATGATGGGAGGGCAGCTCCTGCACCTTTCCAGCCAGAGAGCGAGAGGTGCGGAGAGGGGGGGAAAGAGCGGAAGAAACGGGAAGTTACCTACCTGATGGTTCTCCATGGTCAGAGGGAGCTCTTGCACCTTTGCAGCCAAATCAGGAGACATCCTGAGAGCGGGGGGCGTGAGAGAGAGGGGGGGGCACGGTTTGACGAAGGGGAATTTCCACCTTACCCGTTATAAGCATACTCAACGGGAGAAGCAGCTCCTGCATGCACTCAGTTGCATGTTCAAACCGTACTCGCTATAAGCGGCCTCACCAGGAAAAGTAGCTTCGGCGGTGCACCCAGTTGCCCACGAATTTGAGCGGAGAGGCCAAATCCAACGCGCTGAACCGCCTCAGTTCCAGCAGGTTCGGGTCCTGAAAGTCAACGGGAGTCAACAAGAGTCAACGAGTCAAAGAGAGTCAACAAGAGTCAACTAGAGGATGTGGAGGTGAGTCGAAGGCACTGAAGCGCCTCAGCTCTAGCAGGTCCGGATCCTGAAAGTCAACGAGAATCAACGGGTCAACGAGGGGTGGTGGGGACTGTGGGGTAAAGGCATGTATGCCTAGATACGAAGTTAGAGGCCAAATCAGCTCCAGCAGGTCCGGGTCCTGAGAGTCAATGAGAGTCAACGGGAGTCAACAAGGGGATTTGGGGTAACGGCATGTTGGAACACGAAACTAGAAGGCAATTTGAGGCGCTAAACTGCCCCATTTCCAGCAGGTCCGGGTCCTGAGAGTCAACGTGAGTCAACGTGAGTCATTGCGGGTCAATGTGGGGCATTGTGGGTCAGTGAGGTTCAGCAAGGGTGAGTGAGGGTCAATTGTGCGAGTCAGTGAGGGTCAATGCGGGTCAATGCTGGTCCATGCCGGTCAATGCCGGTCGATTGCGGGTCAGTGCCGGTCAATGCAGTCAATGCGGGTCAACGATGGAAGGAGAGGTTGTGGGTGGACAAAACGGTTTCGAGGAAGAGGGGGAGGGAAAAAAGCGGAAGACGGGAAGGGGAACGGTGGAAGGGAGCGGGGAAAGCGGAATGGGGTGAGGGGAAGGGGAAAAGAGACCACGGACACGTCAGGAGAAATCCAGAACTGAAAGCTTCTTGAGGCGCCTCGGGTTTAAAGCTGAGGCCGAATGATATGCCAGTTCGAACCCACGAGTGAGAATGCCAGCTACCCGTTACTTGCTGACCCGCTACAAGCTGCCCGTTACGTGCCAACCCGTTTCAAATTGCAATTACATGCTGACCCGCAACATTCTGATCCGTTACAAGCATACCTCGCTAAGAACAATCGCCATGGCTTCGAACCCCATGCACGTGGCTTGCACGGGGAAGTAGTCGCCCCGATCGTTCGCCTCCTTTGCCCACTGCGCACGGGAAAAGGTTGCAGGAGTAAAACGGTTATTTCAAGGGTTAATCCAATAATTATTGCTGATGCCTTTTCTTAGTGACGGTTATAGCTGTAATCGAAGGCCTTCAAGGTGCTACCAGGCTTGCTGAGACACTCGTGTACAGCTATAAAGGAAACGCCTGATAAGCCGCTTAGTGTACAGTAAGTAACGAAGCAGTTATGTCGCAAATGGAAGTACTGTACCTGTAGAAGCAGCTGCACTGTAGACATAAAGGGCCCTGGCACCAAGTCGGTCCCACCGCCAGGAATCAGCAGACCGTTGATCATATCGAATTTCTGGTGACGGGGACGTCACAGACAACAAAAAACCCTTAAAACAAGCAGTCAAATACTGATCGTTTGCCACTAGAGCATATCACGGAGAATGTACCGTCGGCCATTAGAGCACTTCATTAGAGCAAAACCGTCAATTTCCACCTTCCCGTCCCACCAAATGGATAGGTTCGGGCCTTGCAAAAGTAACACTGCGAAATTAAGATTCGCAGAGTTCGCAAACGCACCTGACGAAGTACCTCCACCGGTTCGTCGTACAGCAACGGAACGGGTCGCGCGCCCGCACTCTCCACCCACTTGGCGTACGACGCGGCGATGTACGACACGTTCGTGTCAACTGCCCTGTGCCGCCCGACTTCCGCCCCGCCGTACGATCCCTCATCATACGGCATGTCAACCGCCTGGTTCAAGTTGACACGTGGCGCTTTCCCGCCATCGCCGTCGCCCGGCTGCGAAAGAATGCCAATTAACGGCTTGTCGTTTATCGCAGGAGGCTTTGTAGACTCGGATTTAGCGTCGGCTTCAGTCGGCTCGTCAAATCTAACAGATGTGGCTCTCCGGACGGCAAGGATGCTGTTTTCAGCGATTACGTCGGAAGCGGCGTGGGCAGAAAATTCACTTATTGCACCACTAGAACTCGAATAAATACCAAGATGTGGGATGCTTCTAGCATGGCAAGAGGAAATGAGGGAGAGAGGCAGGAGGGTCGCAACGATTAAAGTTACTGGAGAGAACGAGAGTGGTGAAGATTGCGAGCATGATTCTACGCGATAGAGCCTCATCTCGGTTTGGTGAGTCCAATAATTACCCGCCGAATACGCCGTGCGCGATACTCGGCGCAAAATCCGGGACGCGACGTTCAGGTTCTCCGTAAATTCGTGACGGAAAACGGTGGTCGAAGTTAACGAGACTGTGTGTAACGAGGATGGAATCGCGTACGAGTGAAGGCCTGGCTGTGGACTCTCTTTTCTGCTATGACGTCTGACGAGAAGCGGTAGCGAGTCTGCTATTGTCGCGTTCGATCTTGTCCGAGACAGCACGCCGTGCCTGGAAAAGAAGGAATGTCGAGACGTAAGTGTGTGAGGAAATGTCACTTCTAACAAATTGCTGCTGACTCGTAAGCAGGCTCGATTTCGTACGACTATGGGAATGTGGGAAACACTCGAGCGGGAGGGCAGACACTGCAGACAATAGGTATGCCAGCAGGGAGACTGCAGTTTCAGCTCGTGCGTCGCTACTAGCCTGTGAGACATCCTTTTGTTTCTGCTTCAAACAACTACAGAGGTTTCCTGGTGGTTTTTCTCACGACGGATGCACCAGGCAGTGAAGGGGGGGATCGCGCAAGATATGCACGAAAATTGTTCCTGGCTGTGTTTGGCTGGATGGCAAAACAAATTTCACGAAACACGGAGGTGGTGGGTGTAGGAGAGAGCCGTGCGTGGCATGATTTTTTTCTCTCGACATGTGAAGCTGGGGAAGGGGAATTGTGGAGGGGCTGGAGAAATTGTAGGTGCGGCGCGGCGCAAAGTACAGTACGCGTCTCGGCTCATTCCAGGTCATGCGATCGTAGGACAATTTCGGTCAAGCGGAACTGGCGCTGGAACCAAGTGGCTGGTGAGGAAGCACGCCTGCGTGGTGAGGTATGATTGCCTGTAGATGTTCAGGATGACGCAAGTAGGCCTAAGGAATGCGTCATACCTACGTGGTACTTGCTCCCCACACGCAAGTCAACCATCGAGTTCCACGTATCCGCTATTAGGGAGCAGAAACACCTTGAACAAATATCACATACGCTTATTATGCATTACGTATCCATAGTTCTGGGCAAGTGGATTGTGGAAAGGGTATAAATTTGTATTTTCTGGAGTTAGAAACATGTTTTAAGAGCTCACTTATCCACTTGAAGCACTCTGTAGTTCTTGAACTCAATGATTCTGATATTTATTCGCAAGGGGCTTCACTACATTATGAAGATACAATCTACCTAAACCCTTGGGAGAAACTAACTGTACAGGTATTATTTTACAATCAAGCAGACAGTAGGCTGCTTGAGAGGCTACCCTGCCCACACAGCACAACATTTACACTGGGCAGCTGCCAAACAGTGAGACGAGGAGCTCGGCTCCAAGCACCACATCGTCTTCATCCATTTTATTCCCAAGATGCTGCTCCTCATGCCGCAGACAAACCTTCTTCCCAACATGCATCGGCTCATCGCACACTTCACCCTCCTCTGGCCCTTCTCCTGCTGGGCTGCCGCAGTCACTGTTGCTGCTGGTGGCTGCAGATGGAAGGCCTTCACAGCATGACGACGGCGCGTAAACAAAGAGACCAGCACGAGGGCGTGGAAGCCGGGAGCGTGCTTTGTGCACTGGAGATTGAGGAAGAGGCTTGGAGAAGGCCGGGTCGGTGGAGTCGTATTCTCGCAGCATTGCTGCTTCCTGAGGGGATGCCTTGCGCTTGCCACTTCGGATTTTGTTGAACCGGATGCCACATGCATTGCACAATGACTGCAGAAATCAAGAGAGGAAAAAATAAACACAGGAAAAATTAGCAACTGATGCCATTCATTACTTCAGATGTCAACATATTTGCATGTCTACACCTCATGCGAAAAAAAGGGATGATGTGATTACCTTGGGTCCGGGAGGCCCATTTCGCCAGAGGGGCGTTTTCGACGTGCCACAGTGCGCGCAGGTCTTCGCGATTCCATTACTCTGCATCGCAGCTCCTTCGTCGCCTTCGCTCGAGTCCCAACGGTCAGGCGATTCGTCGTCATCAGTCACCTTCTCTTGCGCCATCTCAGGCACGCATGCCGATTTTCGGGCGTGCTTCTGCTGATAAAGCTGCTGCATCTGCTGCTCATGACGATCATGCATCTGGCGCTGCTGCTGATGGCTGTGCGGTTCATGCAATCCTGATGCATTCGCGACAGTCGAATCGTTGATCGCATAGGGACCCGACATCCGGCTAGCGGCTTTATGTCGAAGGCTGTGGGGGAGAGCGGATCTAGGAGCGGGGGACCGTGGGCCAGAAACGGCATGAGCGGGGACGGGGGCAGGGTGCGTGCGAGCGGCTGTCGCAGTGGCGAGACCGTGCGACGCGTCTGCGACGCCATCGCGAACGAAAAACATGTTGACGCCGTGGGAGACGACAGGTTTGGAGCCGTCGCTCGCCGCGGGAGTCGCAGGGGCCTGGGAGGAATCCTGTAGGAAAATACGAAGAGTGAAAAAGAGATCATGAATATTGAGGCATCAGGAAAATAAAAAGAAACGAAAACAAATAAAAGCATGCGACGACGTAAGCTCTTGTAGGGATTTCTCATTGATCGAGTTACAGTAACGTTACTTGAGATTGTCTGCGAATTTACCTATGACGTCGAGTCATAGAGCGCAGAAGGCGGGTGGTTGATGTCAATCATCGGTTGCGAGGATTTCCGTTGCGCAGAAAACGCGAGAACGTCGCTTGCTCCGTCACTTGCCCCGTCGCTTTGAAATGTCGCATGCGTCTCACGGACACAGCCCCCATCAGCCGACATCCCTTGTCGCGCATGCGATCCGTACTCCTGCGCGTCTTCAGTAAAGACATGGACGCTAATCGGACGATGGGAACTCAAGGGAGCTCTGGAAATCGCGGAAAAGGACAGCGGATACGACGGATCGCAAGGCGCTTCGACCAGGGGGCGCGAAAGCAAGTGACGGAAGCTCATGGAGGAAACGAGCGCTGGAGGTCCGGAATCCGGGGATTCGATCGAAGGAAATGACTCGAGAGCAAGAGGCTTGTGTCCTTTCCATGGCTTCTTCATGACGTGATTGTAATTCCCGGCCATCGCAGGATGCGAATGCGAGCTCGGAACATGCAGCATGGCGGGGATTTAGATGAAAAAGATATCGCCGAAGAGACAAAGAGAGTAATGGACCTGGAGAACTCGAGACGCGCGCCGCGAGGAAAGGAGGATCGGGAAAGACGGGATCGTATGAAGATGCAATTATCGAACCGCGGAAAGCTATTTTAAGGCTGCTAGCTGGTGTTTCAGTAGCTACTGTGATCAGGAATGAGATAATGATCAAGGGCAAGGTAAGAAAAGACTCGGGAAATGAAGCAATCGTAGAAGGGTCTTGAAAGGATAAGGTCGGTTGATCAGGCGCGCCTAGGTGAGGCGAGATTGAGAGGAGAGGGGAATCGGGATGTCTGCTGCAACATTGCCCAATGAACGGGCTCGGCTGTTCAAATGCTCCCAGAGGACCGATTTTTGCCTTCGTGCTTTCCAGCATTCATGGCGTGGTGGCAGATTGCTGGTTTGCTGGCAATCACGGTACACTTGTGTTTCGTCTACTTGACAGCCTGTAATTTCACGCCATACTTCAGTGTCTTTAGCACAACTTTCTGCCTGCCAGGCTGGACAAGTGGTGGCTGCCTGGAGTAGCGTCGGGGGAAATAGGTATAGTAAAAAAATCGATTACGGTTAGTGTCACTTTCTTGAGCCCCTTGTTCCGACTTTGCAGCTGTGTCCTCCCACCCACAGTGAACATGCGAAGTTGCTTTGGAGAGTTGAGTATAGCTCGAAAGTAGCGGTGATATTTACAAAGTTTAACAGACGAAATGCTTCCGTGGTCAATTCAGATTGGACACAGGGATCTCTCTGGATCGTCACTAGTAGTTTCATCTGGGCTCCAAGTCAGCAGCACAACCTTGTGGTGATTTAAAAACTTTGTCGCGACGTCGTTACATATCTCATACCTATAAGAGTTTGTCATCACTTTATCGACTATCTCGTGTTGTTTCTTTTCTCTCAAGCGCTAACGCTAGCGACGGAGGTCCTTTCTGCCTGCCGCAGCAGACTCTCGTGACACTCCATTCCAGTCTGCTGTGCTGTGAGCTAGTCAGCCTCACCTGAGAGTGACTCAGCATCCCGGCATTGATGCAGCGTGACTCGCTGATTCATGCTGACAAAGACCAAACGGCCAATCGTGAACACAGGCATCACCAGACCAGATCAGGGTCCAGGTTTGGCTAGAGCCTTCTGATTTTGGTTCGAAACGGACGGAGGTGACGTGGTAGGGATGCCCTGCCCTGCCTGTCTGACAGGAAATGAACTGCATTTCGGTGCTGTGTGCGAGGGAAGACGATTGCGGATCAGAGAAAGGTTTGTGTACAGAAGGGTTTCATGTGCCCAGGCGAGAAAAGCGGAACAGAGTTTTTATGCGCCCAAAAATAGTGGTTGATCAAAACAGTCGGGGTGGCGTCGAACCTGGATGGGTTCCAGAACGGTCACGGCACCAATATCTCTTAGGATATGCCTGGGGCGTTGTTGTGAAGGCTAAGGCTCTGATAATGTATTAGACAAGGACAGGGTGATTTCCGTGATGTGACCATGATCTTCGGAGCGAAGGGTGAAGGGGCAGAGAGGGTGAGAAACGGTGTGCAATGAGGAAAGGGGATGTGGGGGTGTGTGGAGGGAAAGGGGTTGGGTGGGACAGTGCACGAGGAAGAGGGGAGGGAATGGAGGGGGGCTTGTGCACATGCACTGGTTCAATGGAACTGTTATAGCGCAACAACGACGGACCAACCTATGCTTGTGCATCAGGGTCCTGTGACCGTTTTTCCCTGCAAATATAGGGTGTTTTTCAGGACAGCATCAGGCCTCTGTGGTGCTATTGCTTACGAGTCACAACGGTATGTGCTGTTCTTCCAACATTTTGGGTTTCGACACAAAAATCGGGTTTCATACCTGTGAAGAGTTCCCTCACGAACCATCGTTGTCCCCACCCTGGGTGGTAGGGTCACCGGCGCGAAGAGCCAAACGTTATGATATACATAACTTTTCTAACCGTACCTAGGCAGGGATGAAGGACAACTACGAAATTGGAAACCTGAAACAGAAACCGGAAGTCCACTGGGGATGACACAAAAGTCTGACCCGACACGACGCAACGGAGTGGAAGCAAAACATCTCGATTCTTGAATGTCCAACCCATCCACAAATGACCACTCAACGACGTCGACGTGATCAGGGAATGCTTGTTTCTTCGACGGCTGGGATGTGAACTGTACCTACAGAACCTAGATCGAAGGCTGCCCAGGAAACGATCGGTATGTCACGAGGGAAATGTCTAACAGATCTGATGGCCGACCTAAGGGCCGGGGACAATACTGGATTGTTAGGGCAGCCGGCCCTCCCTGACAAAATGTGCAAATTCCAAAGGTGGATCCGTCGATGAAGAAATTTCTGTAGTACGCCTACTTCATCGGTTTACACCGGATCACAATGGCGATGCCCTCCCATTCCCCATAAATATAAAAACATCCACGTTTTCAAAGACAAACTAGCATGGCCCGTAACCAAAACGACTGTGGCATGCACATCGTCGAGCTCGAAATTCCTGCTTCGCTGTTGACGCAATCATGATTTCGAGTGGGTCAACACCTGGTTGAGCACGAGGGGCAGACTGCGTGACGACATGTACCTGATCCAATGAACCAAACTCATCCATATTCTCTCTCCCATTGGCCCTTTGCGCAGCTTGAAGGGGTGCCTGGTTGGCGGATAGAGAAACATCATTCGTTATAAAAATCAGGTCATTCATCACTCTGACGCGCTTTCGGTCGTCCTTATGTGAAGCAGCAAGAAGATTCCGCTGTACTCTGACTAGGATCAGTCTAGTGTTTACGTGGAACCACATGATCAGAACGACATGGACGCTTCCCAGCCACATCTGCGAGTCTGCGTCCATACAGCTAGGGTTCCTCTGATTCCCGTCCCAAACCCAGTTCATCGAGGATGTACTCTTTATGACCATAAGCCATCAAACTTCTCGAATGGATGTACGGTGAATATATCATTCATGTACAGAATTACCACCATGGCCTTTCTGCTGGGAATTACTGGTACCACAAGAGTGAGCCAGTTGAGATGAAGTCAGATCATGCCACGTCTCTAAACCAAACTCCCAAAGGCTAGTTTTCCAAAACATAAAACGCGTTCAAAGAAACCTTACTGGTTAATCTACCTTTATAAATTGAGTTGTGTGACCCATTCTAATTTCATGATATACATGGAAACAAGCACTGATCTGTACAAAAAAATACACAATGAACAGCTGCCAAAAAATGAGGCAAGCAGCTCTGCTCCAACCACCACATCATCTTCGTCCCCTTTCCTTGCATGTTCCAAGCAACAACAACCATGCTTCCTCTTTCATCGGCTTCCTTCTATGATCCTCGCGCATTTCACTTTCCTCTGATCCTTGTGTTGTTGGAGTGGCTTTATTCAGGTTCATGAGGGCAAGAATGTAGCCCCTCTCCCCACCTACTACTGCGCTAGTGCAGGAGACTGGGGATGCTCCCTGGAGGCTCAAGCAACTCACTCCCGTGCTATCAGCTTCCCCGGTACGGCCCCCTTGTGCACACTGGGGCGTGGTAGGAGGAGACGCCTTGCGCTGCTTCTTAAACGGGCGATATTTTTGCAGGTATGTAGGATATGTAGCAGCAGCATCAGCAGCAGGAGCAAGAACAGCCACAGCAGGGGCAAAAGAGCTAGTTACATTATATGGGACGAGACGTCAGACAGGGAAGCCTGAGAGGCGGAAACTCCTGCCGAGGCAGGAAGGTTGTGGCAGAAACTATTATGAAGCATGGCAAGCATGGCTGCCATCCTCACTGTCACAGCCGCTGTTGCTGCTAGCGACACCAGCCGGGATGCCTCCAGTACATGACACGAAATTGTCATCAAATGGTATAGTGGGAGATCGAGGCAGCTTGGTACGTGCTTTCTGCACATGTGACTGGGGCAGAGGCTCGGCGAAGCCCGGGTTGAAGGTCTCGTACTCTCGCAGCATTGCTGCCTCCTAGGGGGACGCCTTGCGCTTGCCTCTGTGGATTTTGCTAAACCGGATGCCGCACGCATTGCACACTAACTACAGCCATGGAGAGAGGGAGAAAGAGAAAGAGAAATTACCAGCTTTCATGACCACAAAGGGAAATGCAAACGACATTGTAAAAAACAAATTGCATACAAATTCACATGTCATGGAGAATAAATTGCTTGACGGGATGACGTAATTACCTTGGGTCCGGGAGGGCCGTTTCTCCAGAGAGGCAATTTCGACATGACACGATGTGTCAAAATGTTATAGTGCTTACATTGTGTAGGCTGTAGTAGGGTAGCCCATAAGGGGTACAACCGAATTAGGGTTAGTACTTGTACCAACTTTCTGCTCAATGCATTTCATTCTCGTTCAGTATTCTGACATGGTTTCAGAGCAGGTCCTGTTCTAGGACCGGTTTTTTTACGGCCCACCACAGAGCGCTGCCCCACTAGTCGCGTTGTACTGCCCCGCCCTGCCCTGCCTATCGCACCGCCCTGCTGGCCGCCGCGCCGCCCATAG